TTTTTCCCCTCCTCGTCTGCTTTGTGCAGCTTGATGTGGCTTCCATAAAAAAAAATTGGCCCACTGCTATTTTATGTGATGCAATGCATCAGATGTGATGGAATTACAGGCATTGTTTCAAGTTGTTCCATTCAGCAGTGGTTACATTATCAGTTTGGTGCATAAAGTAAAAAAAAAAAAAAAAAAAAAAAAAATCCCAGTGTCTGTGTGTAATCCAAGCCTCAGGGCTTTGGGTCTGTGTGCTGTGTGACTCTATGCAGGACGACCTCGTAGATCACAATGACTGCACTGTTACTAACCTGGCCTCTTTCTGTCTGCGAGGCCACTGTTTTAACCTTCATCCCCACTCTGCCATCCTCCACTGTGACTTACAAACATTTTAGTCTATCTGGCTCATAGCAGACCTCAAAGACCACTTTGTAATGAATCACCGAGCTAAAGCCGGCTCCAGTTTGAGCCTGGCAGAGACGCTGGGGAGACTCAGAAAGAGGCAGCATTAGTGTTGCATGACCCTCCTGGTCTTTCTGAGGTGAGAGAGGACACAGAGCTGTAATTCTGCAGCCAGCTGAGCAGCTATTAGCTTAGAGAGGATGTTTCTGCCCATGACTGGGTATTGCACCATAAATGTGATTCTGCCTTATTTATAGCTGATCTGATTTGTTTTGCTTTTTTCCTCAGGTGCCTCAAGGAAGGACCAGCCTTCGTTTACGCTGAGGCAGGTGAGCTACCTGTGTGAGCGCCTGCTCAAAGACCACGAGGAGAAGATCCGGGAGGAGTATGAACAGATCCTTAATACAAAACTTGCAGGTAAAAAAATCCTCCTTAATAATAAAATTGAAACAACTCTAATATGAACAGTGCCCTTTATATTCCGGGGATGATGTACAGTCAGTGTGACAAGCATTCGTCTTTAGTATTTCTCAGATTTTCACGACTAAGCGTTTACAGTGTGTAGCTTCCTGGGAGTTTAAATGTGCTATTAAATCCCAAGATGAATATTTTATAACAGCTGGAGGGAACAAAGACATAAAGAGGATATAAAATGTCTTTTGGCAACAAAAGCAAATCTGCATTCATTTGAGTATGTCTGCTTTAAAACGGTTAATTTAATAAAAAAAAAAGTGTGCTCTCTGTTTTGACTCAGGCCTGAGTGTTTGGAGGGTTTATAAACTTCCAAATTCCAGCTTGGGCTTGTTGTATACAGGAAGTGAGACGATCTGCTACATATCACACATTATGTTTATTAAAAGCAGTGTTGACTGTTGCACACAAAAGTACGTTACTTCTTTTCTTCCTGTAAACGAAAACTTGTTAAGCTTGTCTTTACTTTTGCATTGCTCTGTGACATGGCCCCAGGTGCATTATCACATAGTGTGCAGCCCCTCACACTAACACAAATGCCTGTGCTAATGAGAACACACAGGGTCTTTGCTCTATCGAGGCCGAAAGCCACACAGAACAGTGTTGCAGGGGTCAGCAAACACTCTGCTTTAACGTCACTCTGGGTTCTTGGTTGCTACGTTTGTACTGGCTTGCTGTCAGTTCTAGGAAAGTGGCAATGTCGTTGTTAGCAGCTATTTGTGGTCTGAGCCAAACCGTTTGTACTTTACTGATATTTTTGTCCTTCCATTGAGTATAACTCAAAGTAATGGTTATCTGCGCTGCTCTAAAGTTGACTTTTCCTCCTCCACATAACTACAGGGAGCCGATTGTAGCAGAGGTACACTGATTAAAACTGTGTCGGTGAGGTTTAGTAGTTCTACTGATGCTTTATTATGGACAGTTTTTATTAAAAGACCTGGAAATGTGATTGTGAATCAGTTTTCAGGTACTTAGCTTAATGAAAATGAAGACTCGTTCCTCCACCCATTTGATGTTTGCAGAATGTGGCACACACCCTCACCTCCATCCTCTTCTCTTTTCAGAACAATATGAATCTTTTGTAAAATTCACACAAGACCAGATAATGCGAAGATACGGAGCTCGACCTGCTAGTTGTGAGTACTGTTATCTTTATTTACTTTGTTTTTAAGTCTGTTCTCTGTTAAAAAGGACTGCCTCTCTTAAAATAACAACTATTTTGTATTTCAGATGTGTCCTGAGCTCACATCCGTGTGATCCCGGCTTCCTCTAATAAGATGGCTGCTCTTCTACTGCCTCCTTCCAGTTGATTTACATTTTATTTCCCTAACACCGCCCCCTCGTCCCTTCTCAAACTGTTTGGGTGCCATGATTTATCCACTTTTTAATCCAGAAGTTGGTTTCTTACTTCAAAATTATTGCTGCTGGCCAAACTTAGAAAAGTCTGAGAGAAAATCTGTATGAAGCCCGCTATCTTTTGTTTGTTTTGTTGTTTGTTTGTTTTTTTTCTTTCCCCTTCTCTTTTATTTTTTTTAAAATATGCTTTTCTGGACTTCCTCACTAAAGCAGATGTTTGTTGAATCTCTTGCCAGCGCTGTAGAAAAAGCTTATTGGCTTGTGACCGTTCTGTATAACCTTCCAGCAGCTGTATCTACTGGCTCCTGCTTCTCACCTTGTCCCACTTTACTGTCCCCCCTTTCCCAACCTCCCTCCTCACAAAACTTACCCAAAATGTGGATTTTTCTCCCTTTTGAAAAAAATAAAAGTTCTGTGACTAAAACATGTTGTCTGGGTGTTTCTTTAAAGCTCCATATTTATATTAATGTGCACATTAAGCCACAACATCTCATCATAAGGTCAGTAATAGTTGCTCTTTTGTGACATGTTGACTATAAAATATGCTATTTTTTTATTTTGTATCATCTCAAATGTATTTCTTTGCACACCTAAATGAATAAACTTTGAGTAAAATTATGTTTAACATCATTTTAACCTAAAACAGGTTATTGGAAATTATCATCCTGAAGAATACTGCTGGGTTTTTTTTTTTGTTTTTTAATCTACGGTTTGGCTTGTCTTCCAAAAACAAAACAAGGGTTATAATTAAATGTAGATAAACGACTAAATTTGAATTTTATTGCTTTTGCTTTTGAATTTTCTGACATTTTGTACAGAAAAATACAGATGAGCTGTGATTAATGGAGTATAATTGATGAATTTAGCAAAAGGGATTCATCCATGCATAATAATAATAATAAAACTGTATGGCCATTAAGACTTGTTCACAACTGGTGTCTTAGCTACTGTAATCGTTGATTCTAAAAATAATCCCGTCTATTAGCCTTATTTGCGTGCTGTAGCACCCCCCTGTGGTAGATTGGGAGAACTGCAACCTCAATATTAAAGCGGGTCTCTGACCTGAGTGAAGTTTATTGACACTGATCAGTTTGAATGAGCCACGCTTCTACTCAAGAGTATTTTCTTTTATGTGTGGTTGGACGCTGGGGTGGTTGTATAGTGTTGGTCGGGATTAGGCCACGGCTCCTTGGGACGAAGCACTACCGTGTCTGTGACGTCACTGACCACAGGTGTGGTACGAGGGGAACAGGTAGGCTGTTTGTGCGCGGTTTGGAAACTTGGGATTTGTGGGGGGGAAAAACACAGCTGTGCTGTACCTGGGAAGAAGAAGGGGAGCATCGGGGTTTGTTTATGTCGCGTAGGAAGAAGGAAGCTTCCTGCAGGAAAAAAGCAATGAAAGGCCTATAATTATCAACAAGGGCTTAAGCGTTTTCTTTCAGTCTCTTAGGGAGGGTCAGTCTGAAGAAGGCAGCTCTGCGGGTCGCCCGAAAGCATGGCCGGACTAAGATAAACAGGGGGAGAAAAAACCCACAAAACATTGCTGTAGGTTACTGTTTAACTCCAGTTCTCACCGATCAGCTCTTTCATTCAGGACTTGGAGTCGTTTGATTTAGTTTGGAGAAGTCGGTATTTGTCTCTTTGGCACCGCCTGGAGCCATCTTCTCTCTTCCTGTTGAAGGTTAAGGTGAGTTAGACAAAGTTCGTGATGATCAATTTATTTTATGTATTTATTTTACGCAGCTATCCAAGACGATACGAGCGCGAATGTAATCCAAAGCCTCTTAATGCCGACAGTCACCGAGCCCTAAAAATCAGACTTCGCCCAGAAAACAGGAAATGCTACAGCACCCGGTAACCCTGCACTGTTACTGTGCTGTGAGATCAGTTGTAGGTCAAAATGTAGGCAACACGGAAGGAAGTGCCATAAAATAACATTATTAATAATAATAAATTAGAATCTCAGCCTATAGTCTTAAAAGTTAGTTTAATGCTTACAGTAACCTTCAGTGTATTTCATGTAGTTGAACTGCACGATTAAAGACGACACCCAGCTTCAGGCCAGCTCTTGTAAACAAGGCTGAAATAATCAGCTGAAACATAACTGATCTAAGTAAAACATTTCTTTAGTCAATTTTCTTGCGCACAACCCGGAGGAGGCTTTATTGAATATTGGATGTTTACTTGTTCTGGGACATGACTGAGAGTCAGCTGCCTTCACAAAACGATGTGTTTGTTTTGGTTCCTTTTTCCAAACCTGTTAAGTGTCGTCTCCCGAAAAACTTCCGGATATAAGGAGAAAAAATAAACCTAAATATTCCTCAATAATCGGAGCGAAACTGAAACAAGAAACTAGACCTTTAAAACTAAATGAAATCTAAAGAAGTCTGAGGGGGGGAAAGAGAAGAGAATTATAATAATTGTTGGTGTCAGAGGAAAATAGGATCGGCTACTGGGTGTAAACAAAAATAAAAATGCAAAATGAAAGTATGGATCCATCTGGCCTTGTGTCAATGATTCAGCCTGCTGGTGGATTAATGGTGTGAGGGATCTTTTCTTGGCAATATGGGCTAAACTCGCAGAGGCAGGTGTTTCTAGCTCTGTGTGACAAAGAATTCAGGTAGTTATGAAAGCAAAAGAGAATCTAACAGAACGTGGCTGTCAAGACATAAATAGATGTGAAATGATCACATACTATTTATTAAATTAATTTCCATCCACATTTTAAAAGCTTAAAAAGCAGCTCCCGCTTCCAGTAGTACTCAAATTTCTTTTACACTAACTTAGAATTCACTTTTAACTCAGGGCTGGAGCAGTGATGGCGGACGATGACCTGGAGCAGCAGGAGCCGTTTCCTGTGGAAACGGATGAGAGGCAGCCGGGGGATGAAGAGGAGCAACCAGATGGTGTCTTGGAGATGGGATGTTTTGAGAAGTTCCACCATCTTGTCTCCAAATGGATGCTCCCAGAACACTTGCGCGAAAAGTACCTGGAACGTGCCAACTGCTTTCCACCCCCCATCTTCATCATCCTCATCAGTATTGCAGAGGTAGTTCTGCATATGCACACACTGATACTGTACAGGCACTAGGACAGTGATTTTGGTTTACATTAGTATTAAATACATTCAGGGTAACTGTTAATAGTACTGTTTTGTTGTTCTTTTGTTCTTAACTTATTTACTGTACAGTTCTTTGGTCCTGTGCTGGCTTTTTAAAAGTACTTTATAAATAAAGTTGGATTGAATTGGATAGGATAGCAGATATTAATGAGAAATTATTTGTGTCTTATTTGACTGTTTGTATATCTTTGAAAATGTGTGTTTTCACAAAGATGAAGCCTTAAACTGAGAAGCTTTGTTGGGCATTTCTTTCTTTCCATGTCTTTCAACATCTGCACTGCCTCCTCTGAATGTCCAGATTCATCAAGTCATTGTTATCAGTGAAAACAGCGGTAGCTTCAGGTTACACTGAGCTTCACTGCTGGAAGAAGCTTTTCCACAGAAAGCCAGTGTGTCTTTCATTCAGATTCAGTTAAATAAAAAACATCCAGTGGAATTTGGTAGCTCATCAGTTGATTTACTCTGACCTCAAAGAGTTATTTATGATGTACATTATTAAGTCAAGGTTACAGGGAGTGTATTTAAAATCACCTCTATGTTAAACACACATCACTGTAAGCTCTCATAGTGCCAATGTGAGCTCCTCTTTCTGGCCTTGTTGCCAGAACTTTATGGCTTCTGCCATTTTGGTTTTTTGGAGCGGGAAGTGATCATATTTAGACAAGAGGGTGGAGTGCTAACCTGGGAGCTAACGCCACCGAGCTTGTTTACATACCAGCCTCAATTTCCGGGGCTGAAAATTAAAGAGCCACAAAGTGCCAAGAGGAAGACTTCCTCTACTTGGCCACATGTAACAAAGCTCCCATGTTAAAATGCCCAACTTTCATGTTTACAGCCTGGTCTGTGCAGATACTGTCCCCCGTCACAACAACACTAGAGGTGGTGAATTTCAGTATAACTCGCCTATCTGGATACTGGAGTTAGGCGTGTTGGTACTTTGATTGGCAGCTGTAGCTGAGTGGTGTTTGTTAGGATTCACCTTTGCTCCTTGAAGTCACTTAACTGGATCTCTTCACTTTTTTAGTGTCCTTTGGGGTATTTTTAAAGGCTTAGTTGTATGTGGCTTGCTGTGCAGTATAGATTGTCTGTTTATGCTTCAGTTTCTGTGAGCACATCAGGGCTTGTGAGATAACCAAGTCAGTTTTCTACTTGGTTATATTGTAATGTGAGAGCTGGTGTGAAGCCTGTTGCCTCTGTTTGCATGTTGCCTTGTTCAAACTTAGGAATGAACAGCTCTCTTTGTGGCTCACAGATGTCCAGTGTTGCTGCATTTGAATGCCCATGGATACTTTCTCAGCGTGTTGTTGCTTTATACTCATAGAGATAACCATGTAGACTCTTTGTATCATCAGACTGGGAGGAGTTTTGAGGTCAAGTTAGTGGGAAACATGTCTCAGTAAAGCAAACCTCAACATCTGTATGTCTAATTCTCTCATCCTTTTGTTTTGTTTTTTCACAGCTATTTTAGATTTAGCTTGACCCTGATATCTTTTCTACAGTGTTTTAGACTCTCATACTTCATGTCTAATGTTTTGTATCCACCCTATTTCATTCATCAGCTGGCTGTATTTATCTACTATGCTGTGTGGAAGCCACAGAAACAGTGGGTGACCCTGGATGAAGGCATCTGGAACAGCCCTTTAACCTACAAGCCTGAATGCCGGAACGAGGCATGGCGCTTTATCTCCTACATGTTTGTCCACGCCGGGTAAGCATGGGTAGAGCTTTTAAATATGTTAATTACACGAGTGAGGCTCTAATCAGTGCAAAACCCCCCAGAAAAACATTTTTAAAAAATGTGGATAAAACCCACTCACGGGTGGTAATTAAACCCAGCGGTCACTTTTGAGATTGCAGGTTTTGCCTAAAGCATCCTGTCTTGTGTTTTTTAACGTTGAGCTTTTAGCTGCAGCAGTAGCCCTTCAAAATTACTCACCACAGAGGTGAGTAATTTTTCATGAAGATGGATAACTAATATTATCCCAGCTGCCATGGGTCGAGAATGGGGGCACACCCTGGACAGATCAAAGGTTTATTACAAGGATAGCACAGAGAGAGGCAGACAGTCACACCTCCCACACCTACAACCAATTTCATTTTGAGCCCCCCCCCCCAAAGAGGAAACCAGTGCAGGCACATGGATAGCATGCAAACTCAAGTTGAGCTTCAGGTCATGTTAAAGAGTTGCATGGAATCTTGGTAGTAATTGTCTGGCATGGCTGTAAAACCACTGCAAATGTACTGGATGCAGCAAGAAAGAAGTCATTAGTGCATAAGCTGCAGAAAGACCGGAAAACCAAACATCATGACTCCACAGGAAAGCTATTAGCAAAGAGGAACAACAGTCTAACCAGCTCTGACTGAAAAAAACAAACCCTAAGGTTTAAGGCGGGTGATATTCTGTAACAAAAACCTCTGAAAAGACCAAAAGCAACAATGAAGTGTATGCTGTGTGTAGACAAAATCATATAGAGCTTATTGCCACGGACACTCTTATTGTCCAAAAATATTAAAAATACTTACCTGAGGTGTGTTGTTGCCCTGGCTTTTTCCCCCCCATGAATAAACGCACTGTATATTGCTTTGAATCTGGCCTGCAAACTGCTTTAGTATCCTTCTGGAACAATGTGCAGAAACAAACAAACCAAGTTTAGTCTCTTAAAGTAACATTTGTGGAACTGATTTACTAATAAAACCAGTTTAAACAGGCTTAACACTTCAGAATGAGCGATCTAAAAAAGAACTGTCTGTGTTCATGCTATTTTGTCCATCATGCTGTCCTGCATCTCAATGGCGAAGAACTTATTGCCTACTTTGTATTTTCTAGTGTGCAGCACATTTTGGGCAACCTGTTGATGCAACTGGTGGTAGGAATCGCACTGGAGCTGGTGCACAAAGGATTTGAAGTGGGGATGGTTTATCTTTCTGGTGTTCTTGCAGGTGAGAATTACCTTTTTTCTTTCACTTAACAGCCTCAAAACAGAGAACCACCTGCTGGTGGAATACTGAAAGAGGATAGAGGACACACAAAGTGCCATGATGGTTTGGTCTGGCTTTAAATTGGATTGCTGCTATGTCCCTGAGGCTAATCTGGGACTATCGTCCAGTTATAATCGTACAAGTCTGATGTTATCTGCCCAGATGTGACTCTTAATCCAGGTATAGGTCCTTAATCTTGATAAATGATGTCCAATCAGGGATATTCTCCACTTCACAAACTTGTGTGGAATAGTCGTTGCAATGGCAGGGCCAAGCCAAAGCATCACGATGTCTACTTTCCTAGGCAGTATGGCAGAGACGGCTCTGTCCATGACCCCAGTCCTCTGGGACTCTAACTACCAGATGTCAGCAAGCCTCCCTTCCTGAGACTCAGCCTTTCTGAAGTTAATTTTCCTGTTCATGTTTGTGTTTGAGTGTTAAAGCTGTGCATGTTTCTCCCTTAGGGTCTCTGGCCAGTTCCATTTTTGACCCTCTCAGTGCCTTGGTGGGGGCTTCTGGGGGTGTTTATGCCCTACTCGGTGGTTACTTCATGAACGCTGTGGTGGTAAGTTCATCAGCAGTTCATCAGGAAATCTGTATTTTCTTTTCATGTGACAATGCAATATGGTGTAGATAGTAAAGAGACATGATCTACAGGTTAGTCTTGTAGGTAAAGACTAGAAATTGAAGTAGTAATGTTGAATTTTGTCAGTGCATATGCCCCACAGGTTGGGTGTCAGAAGAGAAAGAAGAATTTGGGAATAAGTTGGGTGAAGAGATTTAAGTCAGAGCGGTAGATATTGGTGATTGGATCAGGCTTGATTAGATACATAGCTGAAGGGAAAAGAGCTGAAGTGTTCATAGATGTGGTATCAAGGACAGAAATGCAGAAAAACAGATCGTGGTGGATTTTGCAAAAAGGATGGAAATGGTTGTGGTGAATACCTACTGCAAAAAAACAACAACATATGAGTGGAGGAAGGTGCACACAGGTGGACTGTATCTTAAGCAGAAGGTGCAATCTGAAAAAGAGGAAGTAGTGTCAGGGGGAGAATCTAACTAGAGATGGCACGATACCACTTTTTTATGTCCGATACCGATATCATAAATTTGGATATCTGCCGATACCGATATGAATCCGATATAGTGTTTTTTAATCAACAAAACTGTTTTTTTTTAAATATCTTGCTGCATTTTGTATAAGTTCATATTCAAGTTTAAAACAACAACTACACTAAAGCTATTCTGTTATACCTGTATGCAAAAAAAAATATTTCATAGTTCAGCAATACTGATCAATCTAATAAACTTAGACCTACACCATCCTCCCTATTCTGGTATTTTAAAGAGTACTTAGCGTAAATATTAAGCAACCTAACTAATAGGGTTCCAACTCCCAGCAACAACAAAAATAAATAAAAAAATAGGGAACCACCCCTCACCCTCCACCTCATGATGCTTAATCGACGTAATCAACCTTAATTTGATGCAGTGTGAGAAAAAATGCACAGAAATCAATTATTTTTCAAGAATAATTAAATAGATTCAACATCTTTCTTCAACAAAATTGCAGACTGCACAGATGGTACCTTCCCAAAGGAAAAAGTACTATAGCTTACTAGGGTATATATATTAGACTTAATAGTTACTATATACAGTAATTGACTTCTATTCATTTTACATCAAATTAAAACTTTGGGTGTCAGATAATTATTGATTAAAAGCGAGACATTTTAAATGAGAATAAGAAAGAAAAGTATGTCTTTGTGCCCCCTTTTCCCTGTTAATGCCCTATCGGCCCCCCTGGCTAAACTTTGCTAGATCCGCCCCTGCACAGTTACCAGCGTCAGCTACGTAGAAAAAGATCCTGGAGTAGAAAGTAATATTAAATAAATTCTAACAACAGCTGATCAAGCTTAAACGTGCTGCTGTTGTTCAGCCGCTGGTTTCCTCTTTCTGGTGCAAAGTGGGCCAAAAACAAACAAGAGAGACGGACTCGCGACAGAAAAGCCGATCAGCTGATCATTAAGCAGTTTCATGATTGAAGTAGCAGCAAGAAGAGGCAGTCGCTCCATATATCGTTTGTTAAGCTTAACGCAGGAATGCTTTACAAACATTCAGAGATGGACTTACACACTTGCTTTACTTCTCTCGGGGATAACTTTGTCGGAGATGAAATGCCAGGTTGCTAGCGAAGCTCCAAATGCTATCCAGACCACCTACAGGTCCCGCATGCCACAGCCGCTCTATCACGTGATGCATACTGCTCCGACTGCTAACGTTCGGAGGCGAGTTATGGCGTGTTGCAAGTTTTGTGAGGTGCTTTCGTGATATTTAATGGATCGGATTACATTTTTTATTTTTCTCCGATATCCGATCCAGTAATTTAGATCAGTATCGGACCGATACCGATACGTAATATCAGATCGGTCCATCTCTAAATCTAACTGGGCAACATTGGATGGTAGTCTATAGGATGACTTTGGAAATCAACGAGAGGAAGTGAGTGATGTGTTCATAGCAATAGTTCGCACAGCTTGTTTAATTAAAGGGGAACTATTCTGTTCTTTTCCTTTTCCATGATTTTGTTGTTGGATGCAGTGGTAGTAACTTTACATAGTGAACAGTGTAAATTCTTTTTAGCCCTACATTGGGCCTTAGGACAGTCCCTTAGTTCATCCCCTCTTTGAAACAAGCCATTTTAGGTTCAGTCCTTTTAAGGCAGCTTTCTTATCACTGGCTGACCTCTGCAAACAGAGCGTTTGTGCTAGCTACTGACAGCCACTGCTGTCTGCCTGAAATGACCACATTCAAGTTATCAGCTTTCATTTTACATCATACAAAGTGGTCATGATGAAACGGAGCATTTAGAGCTCTGGGAATGCTTTTGGCTCATAAGGATTATTTGTACATGTGCTGACCTCATTAGGTGAATTTTTATTTGATATTAGTAATTAAATTTTTTATGACCAAAAATAGAGAAAAACAAAATAGCTGTACATTTACATTTCTGATCATCCAATGCCCCTTTTACTTACAAATATATGGCAGATGTAAATTACTGTGTTAAGTTTAAATCTAAGTATTGATCTGGTGTTTGCTTCAATCTACAGAATTTCAGAGAGATGATTCCTCTCCTTGGAGTGTTTCGTATCCTCTTCATTGTGGTCTTTGGTAGGTTCTCCTAGCTGTGTTTTGGCCTGTTTGTGTTTTTGTACCTGAGGAAATTACCTTCAGAAACATTTGATTTAAAACTGTTTGCTTTTTCCCAGTTGGTTTAGATTTCGGGTTTGCCTTCTACAGAAGATTTGTCAAATATGAAGATGGTTTACAGGTATGATTTTGCTGCTGCTGTGCAAAAGCCATAAACAAACAGGGCCTTTTGTTAATCTCCTCTGACACAGAAGATGCCTCAAGACAGATCCAGCTAAGTCAGCTAACCTCCCCCAGCAGCAAGCTTGTTTTGTGATAGCATTACTTCCTTGTGGCTACAGACGAGCTCAGTAGCTCTTGCTGAAACTTGATTATTCATGCCGATACGCGCTCCTCTGTGCAAAACATGCCAAAGCTTTCCACACAACCAGAACACAACCTTTTTATTTGGTTATTAAACTGGTCTTGCAAGTTTTCTGAGTCGCTTTCCAGTGGGGGTGGGGGGCAGTAGCGTGACTACATTGTAAATAGAGTGAAAGACTAAATTTCGTCTTTTCTCTTAGGTGTCCTTTGTTGCTCACTTTGGAGGAATTGTGGCAGGGATGACCGTCGGCTACGTCTTCTTCAGTGCTTACAATGAGAAGCTACTCAAAGATCCACGTTTCTGGATTTGTATAGTGGGCTACACAATCTTTGTTCTCTTTGCTGTGTTCTTCAACATCTTCCTTTCTCCAGCCCCGTAGGAGCATGAAGCTGCACTCAGGTCCTGTTTTAAACTCTAAAATTCTTGTGTCACTCAGGAAGCAGATTTTTACTGATTTGTTGTAGAGAACAGTTACTTTTTAGGGACCCGAACATTGATTTGTTGGGTTTTTAGCCTTCTTTTTTTTTTTTTTTTTTTTACTTTGAGCTCTCTTTAGGGCTGAATTTGTGTGAAATGGCTCCTCCTGCTGTTTATGTGTAGTGTTGCTTTAAGGCTATGCAGATGAAAATGTGCCCATTGAAGCATTCATTTTGAACATGATGGGGCAGTTATGTATGACTTAATTAACATATGTGGTTTACTTTTTCCTTGTGTGCTTTGTTTTGACTTTCTGTATTTTCCACTGTGTTCTTTTTATTTGGATCATCGAGGACTGCCATTGATCCACTGTTCATAGAAAAGTTTCTTACACTGCTTAAAAACACTATGCACTAGAAGAAAACATCATATTAACATCTGACATCACATTTTAAGAGTTTTTATACGTGACAGCCATAACTATATGTTTACACTGATGTAATGACTGGAAGAACAGGGTGAGTGTCCTTAATGCGTTTTCTTTAGCTATGAAGCCGCTTTACTATCAAGCATGTTATTTTAGAAATGTACTTTTTTTTTTAAACAAAAAATATTTTTTGTTATTGAAACTGTAAATTATCTAAGATTGTGTGTAAACTATGACAAAAAGACCAAACAGACCTTCTACACTGTGTTTTCATAAACAAGTCACATTTGTAAATATTTTTTTCACATTAAATATGGAACTTCTGAAGATTTATTTTGTGTTCCACTTGGTTAAACCTGGTTTTGATCAGGTCCGCTGGTGGTATGCATTTACATATTCTGCTCTCTGTGTTCCAGATGTTGTTGTTGTGGGGTAGAGTCACCATCCCTCCTTAATAGCACCATAGCCTGGGTCAGATATAGATACAGCCAGTAGGTTTGAAAAAAATAAGCCCAAATAAAATTAAAAGTATAAATATTGCATTACTTTAGTGTTTTTTAAAGCTCTGCTACATGTGGAGAAGTTGCATTAAGACAGATCAGGGACTAATATTGCTAAATCTCACCTGATTGTTGCGGTTAAATGTAATGTGTAGAAATAAGCACATCTGGGAAATTAGCACACTGACAACATCGATGTGCAATTCAGAAAACTGCTGAAGTTTAGAGTTGCCGGTCTCAGGTTCGCCTGCTGCTCATGTTACCACTGATGTTTCTTAGTTAGAGGAAAGCAGTCTGATTTATCCCTCAGTCATGCGACGATGCTGGGGCAGAGGGCTCAGGTTGGTTTTGTGCAATATTTTTGATACTCTGCTTACATTTGGCACTCTATATGAATCTGTGCCAGCACTCTTATGTTTAAAGAAATTAAAGACTCATTTAAAAAAACAAAAACCCACAGCATCCTCGATCCACCTACTGACATCGAGCATCCGAAAGACGAAGAGGATGGTGAGACAGATTTTCCTATGGAAGTGGAATGAATATGCACCAGCTCTAAAACCCCCCAGAGGAAGTTCCAGCCTCTCAGCTTCACTCTGCCACGATGACTGATAGTAATTCAATAACAGAGAGACATTAACCAAGTAAAAGCAAAGAAAATCTGCTGAATTAGTCCAAACGTCAACATTTCCAAGGATAAAATGTCACATTTGGAGAAAATGGACAGCAAAGATGATTTCAAATATATGGCAGATGTGATCTCTGGACAGGTCGTAACCCTCTTCAGCAAATCATCATATGCTTGAAATCATCTTTGGAAATGCAGCTTTCTGCAAACGTGATGTTTTCTCCTTGTTAACATTTCATTTTGTTAAGCTGAGATATATTACATCTTGACAATACCACTGTTAACTACCCAAAAAAATACTGTGCACCATTAGTCTAAAATACTGCTGCAAATGTTGCTGTTTGAACTAATTCAGCAGATTTTCTTTGCTTTTATTTAGTTACTGTCTCTCTGTTATTGACTTCCTATCAGTCATCGTGGCAGTGAAGATGAGAGGCTGGAACTTCCTCATGGGGATTTTAGAGCTGGTGCATATCCATTCCACTTCCATAGGAAAAATCTGGCTCACCATTGTCTTCGTCTTTAGGGTGCTTCCCCTTATGGCTGCAGTCGAGCATGTGTGGCTCAATGAGCATGCTGACTTTCTCTCCAATACCAAGCAGCCTGGGTGCAGTAGATCCACTACTGGGTGCTGCAGACCATTTTTGGGTCTTCTCCCTCTCTGGTTTCTATGGGGCATGCTCTTGATGGGCTCTGGATACTAGAGAAGGGATGGCAGAAGAATAAAGCTCCCCTCACTCCAACTGGTCGCGGCAGATGGCCGCCCCTCCCTGAGACTGGTTCTGCTGGAGGTTTCTTCCTGTTAAAAGGGAGTTTTAGAGCTCAGGATATAGCTTCCTCCAACTACGAAACATTAGTGGTAACAGAAGCAACAAACGAATCTCAGATCTGCAAATCTAAAAATCATTACAGGACACAGCGGTCCAGCCTATAAATGCGTTCCTTTTACATTGAGAAACTTTACACCAGCTGCTTTATTTTTATTATTTTTTTATTTATTTAGTAACTTTAGACATGTCTGCACTGGGTAGACACAGGTGAGCTGTGACAACGGTGCTTTGGCTGTTTTATTCATTTAAACCCTCCTCTACCAGTCGTTTAATTTGTGGATTTCCAGAAAAAATCTTGTTAAACAGAAGAACATCTGATTGGAAGTTTTCTAATGTAATTTCAGGTTTCACAGCATCTGGACTGGATTTTAAATCTCAAATGACACATTACTATAAGCACTTATCTGAACAAAAACAATAGTCAGTTTTCTTCGCCCGTTTCACAGTTTTGGTTTTTGTATGCACTTGGAAAAATAGGTTTTTAAGTGTGGAAGAAAGCCTAATGTGCTCTGGTCCCCAAGGTCTTTGTGCTTGGTGTTTGCTTTTTAATGTGTTTTATATCTGGTTTCTTTCAGCGGGTGATTGAGGATGTGTGTTAATGAGCCTACAAAGCTGTAAATGACCACAGTAACTCTGTTGCATTACAGAACTCACTGATTGTTTGCTGTAAATAAATTGATTAAAATTGGAAAAACAAACAAACAAACAAAAACAGTGATTACATGGCCATGTTTTATTTTAGATGTGATATATTTTTGTGCACCTACACCAGATTTTTGTAAATAACACACATACATTGATCAGTGTGTGTCCTCTTAACAAGACAGGAAAGTAAAACAAACAGCTTAATGACTACTGTCTATTACTAACCCACTCGTCATGCTGAAAGTCAGTTTCTACTATAAAGCTATACTAAAGACTAAATAAACCAAAAAAACCAACACTTATATACATTCATGTACAAAATAAGTTAAATCAAAAGTAGTAAAGTAGAAACAGATTTATAAAAAAGACAAAACAGCAACATAAAAATGTTTAGTTTTCACCTAAGTGTTGTCTCGCCTTCAATTTTTAAAGTGATAGCAACGTAGAAACAAAATGCTGTTGGGTTGGGGTCTAGTTAGCTGTGCCTCCATCTTCAGGTACAGATTCATAACGCTGGAGCTAGAGAGACAGAAGAAAAAAAACCCAAACATCAACATTAGTCGAGTTCACAAGCCTTTCAGGAGCTCCTTGTGTCCATGCAGACTGTCAGATAAAAAAAATAAATACACACTGTTACAGACAGGTATCAAAAAGCATCATGGCAGACAACACACTGACCCACGAGAAGCGATACAACACTCATACCAGAAGCCTCGGAATAGAGCTGTACCACGACAAAGGTAGGACGTGGTACATGATTGAGGTTTGCTTCTTTTGTCCTTACTAGTCTGGACACACTACATCATAACAAAACTACCAGACAGTCACAAGGAGTTTTTGAGCAAATTCCTTTTCATTGCACTTCAGGAGATTATGTGATTGGTATCGGAAAGAATGTATGGAAAAGATTACATTGAAAAATTATGCATGATCCAAATTTTTCCAGCAAAACAGTTTCCCAAATATGACGTTAAATATTGAAAACAAACAACAAACTGGGAGGCATCAGCTGCATGTTTTCAGGAAAGTATCACTCGTTTATATTTGTAACGCTGGTTAAAACTTGTTAATGCTTCAATCGAACACACTGCTCCAAGGTCATGGGGTCATTTTGTCTCCCTTTGTCTCATTTCAAGTTATATTGGATATGTCGCGCTACTTTTGTGCATGTTAAAGTTTGTACTCTGAACTTTAGAATAATTGAAGACTAAAAGATCTATTTTTGTGTTGTATTAACTTATGTACTGATGAATTGTGAAATCATTGCACAACATTTTTTTGCTTTTTATTTCAACTTGTGGTATCTTGGCATTAATTTATTCTGGCCAGCTGTAGGACACCATGTCTTCTTTGCATTCTGTGTCTAATTATAATGACTGTGCTTCAAAAATCTTAAAATCTAAATGAGGTTTAAAAAAAAAAAAAAAAAAAGAAGAAAAAAAGTCTTTTTACAAACCACTGGAGGCTTACCTTTGCTTTAAGCTCTTTATTTTCCCCTGCCAAGCGTGCACACTTTTGCCTGAGATTAATCACCTCCTGCTGCAGAGCCTCAGCATCTTCTGAAGTCTTCCCAACAGCACCGAGTTGCTGCTTGACAAATCTGGTAGAAGGAGCCAGTTAAAGAATCTACAGCGAGTGTAATTTCTGTTCAGACTTGTAGCTGGGAGGGAAAATATCAGCTGAAGGTTCACCTCAACACACAGATCATAATGTTGCAGGCTCATAATGTTCAGAATCAGCTTGTGCAATTAGAAGGATACTCCAAAGCGTTGTTGGGCTTTTCTTGTTGTTCATATAGCGACACTAGAACTGAAGACCAGGAGGGGAGAGAAAAGAGTTAAACTTTCTACTTATCACTGACTGTCAGTAAATACTTGGATGGACTCTTAGTTCTGTTTACTTGACCTCTGATAACATAATTCGTGAGTTAAATGGCAAATTTGGACTGTTTACTCAAGCAAAGTCCTTGTACTGTGCATTTACGTTAACTCAAATTATAATCTAATGAATTTGAGAAGTTCAGCACCATTTCTTACAGTGAAAAACAAGTCAAAAATTCTTAATAGGTGGAAAATCCTGCAAAAAATGTATGTTTGATATCTTACATTCTCTATCAACATTACATTAGCTATCAATCCATGTTCTTAAGATGTGTTTACTAAAAAGCCTGACACTGGTGAAAAGGTTTTCGACGTTTCCCCTCAAGGCTACTTGGTGTCAGATAATAATTTGCAGCACTGTCAGAAGAGGGTCTAGCTTTCAGTTATGCTCTGCAATACTTTGCGAATAGCTCCCAAAGCTAGTATAATGACTTTAACAGAAAAGAAATGCACCTTACCACTAGTTAGACTGTCAACAACACCAGCTTTCTCCAAGTATCTCCTAAACTGTTCCCTCTTGGGGTCTGGACCCTGCTGGAGGAAGAAAAATAAGACATTTTATTACCAGCTAATCATAAAGTACCTTTAACTGTCACGTCTTGCCTATTAGAGTGGGCCAATATGATTAAGAGTGTTCTCACTATTTGTAATTCCCTCGTATTTAATGCCCTGGACTTCAAAGGTGTAATAAAGAAAGTATAATTTGTAGCCGTAGCTAGTTTATTTACGTTCTCCAAACTCTGTTTACCCACAAACATTTGCAGACCCCCATCACCGAGAAAGCCCAAATACAAGCCGTCACAGGTGCGATGGCGACCTCCCGATGAGCCTCCCTCCCTGCTAACATTAGCTTAGCTGTGCTTGAAACACAGGACATGAAGCGGGTTCTTAAAAACAGCAGCGTAAAATGAATACAATGACAGCACACGCGCTTACTTTATAATGTGCCATAGTAATGTCGGTTAGAAAACTGCCTTTTTCGTGTAGACAGCTCCTATATTTAGCGTTCCGCTTAAAATGGGAGCACCTAACTTTGAGAATCAGGTACACCGCCGGCCGGGTCGGTAAAAGTTTACTTTCGTTTATCTTCTTCGCTCAACCAACTGCTCCGCAGAGTCAAAGCTGCATTCAGGAGCTCCTCGGGAATATAAGAACGTGCAAAGGTTCCTCGTCACGAAACCAGTGATAAATTCTTACATATCTCCATTTCTGTTGTTTTCCCTCTTTTACAAAGCACTTAAAATTGCACTCTTAGGCCATTCTGCGATTGGAGGGCAAATAATGCGTCAAAACTGCTAAACAAAACAACAACAAAATAATATCATTGTGTTTAGGAACAATAATAAATAATAAACCATCAAAAAATTAGGTGTGTCCAGCTCAGGCAGTTTTTATACAGATACACTAGGTACACTTTTTAAGAGTTATTGTAGTTGCCGTATGCTATGCGGCATTGCATAGGCAATATAATTTACACAACAATGGATTTATTTACTCAACATGGATTATTTAATCTGTCCTGCAATTGCGGAAAGAAATAATTCCTACATTTCAGAAGGCTCATGAAAGCCTTTGCTTCACTGTAGTAGGCGCCTGCTTCCATCTGCTGGTAACAACACAGAATAACACTATAACACACTCTGTTTGGTTCGTCTTCATTAAATGTTCCCTTTTAACCCAAGATCATTTGTGACTATTATTTTAGTCCACAAAAAAAAAAATACTCTAGGTGGTTTAAAATAGCTCATTTAAAAAAATGAAAGGTTTTATTTTCTCCTCTTTCGAGCGACAGTTCATAAAACAAGTCCGCGTACTAGTCAGGTGACAGCGGTGAACCTCATTAAAGTGGCAGGCTGCTCGGCCAATCACCTGTCGAATTGTAACCAAAGCAGCGAATCAGAATCAAAGGGCGGGACTAAATGGTGAGGTTTTTTTTCAGGGCGAGAGGAAATCCTAAGGAAATGTGTGGGATCACGCTCTGCGTTTCCAAGTGGCTCAGGCGTTATTGACAAACTATCTCCATCGGGTGACGTTACTTCATGGTGCCTACCAACGGCCCGCTACAAACAAACAACTAACCGACAAAGTAAACGGGGGGAATAAGGGGGGAAGCGACCGTGCTTAGGACAAAATGTCGATTCAGTACGAGGTGGAACAGCTGTCTGACAGCTACGGGGTTGCGGACTCGTTTCCCAAAGATTTCGGTTATGGTGAAGAGGAGGCCGACATCGAGGACAGCCCGGCACCGTCCGACAGCAAACCCAGGATCCTGCTTATGGGCCTGAGGAGAAGCGGCAAATCGTCGATACAGAAGGTAGGCGGAGATGTTAAACTGTTAGCCTTCCGAGGCGAGCGCCGCCTGCCTCAGCCTCACGCGAGTATAAACGGGACGTTAGCCAAAATAGCTACCGAGTTGGGTTAGCATGTCGCGAGCGATGACGGTTATCAGTCAGCTGACGGCGTGCTCAGCTACGTAAGAATTGAAGAAATAATAACAATAATAGTCATAAAGAAAATTTGTAGAAAGCTAATGGTCACTTGGTTATCTGTGTGAACTAACACCGGTGTGTCCGCAGGAGTGAATTATTAACCAGCTGAACAGAGGCGCTCGGTGCATCTTTAATGGTGCGTGTGTACATGCAGCATGTGACTGTTTGGTTAACAACTTATCCGACATGCAAACAAAAAACAGAAAAGAAAGTCTATGTCAGTCCCACCCAACTGTGCGGTATAGATTTGGAGTGTGCCTTTCACATGATATCAGAGAGACCACACCTTTCGGTCTGCAAGCCATAACACTTTTTAAATCAGTGCAGCACGTGCAAGGCCTCTTTACCTGAGTCGTACCCATTTTATCTCAGAAAGAGGGATAAAAAATTTGTTCGGCCGCTACTTACCCCCCTCCAGTAACTGCCCCTGTGCATGATGGACTATTCAGACGCTCCCACACTCTCAAAAAATCAGGAACAGCCAGGACTCCAGTATGCTCAAGGAAATTAAGCCCGCCGTATAGTGACACAGCTCCTTGTTAGGAGATGACCTCAGTAGCTGCTCTGAGATTGCTATGACCAGCGGCACCTGTGTTTTCACCTGAATTCCTAATTATTAATTTCATAAGCAGTTTTGGCCTTCCATTAAAGCATATTAATGACTGTCTATAAAATGTTTTTAAAAAGTGATGCTTAATTTGCTTAAGTTTGAAATGCATTTTTGATTTATTTATTTATTTTTTTTAAAAATGGCCAAAGATACTTAAATCTATGGATGATGATTAACACAGACTTTTTGCTAGCTAAATGCAGGGAAACGCCACCCTCACCCCACAAAGTAAAACCCTGTATGAGTGTAGATGACATTTAATATGAAGGCAAAACCTCTGTCAGCTTTGGTGACTGCTGTAAGCCTGGAGCCAAAAAAAGTTGATATTACAAGTTATGGCAGAGGCAACAAGCCACCAACGCCTGTGGAAACTTTGCAGTTGTTGGCAAAGGGGGAAGGCACATTCGGAGGCAGTGAGAGAGAAGGAAAAGCAGGAGTGTGGATAACAGAAAAGGGACTTGTAGATATTGTGGGTTGGTGCTAGGGATGGGCTCAGGCGGAGGCAGATGACTTGCTGTTTCCTTAAAAGAAAACAGGAAAAAAAGTTTAAAAAAAAGTTAATATATGTAAAGAATAATAATTAAAAAAAAAAGTTCATTACTAGTAATCCAGTTAACTACAACATAATTAAAAATGGGCACAGTATAAGGCGGAATGATAAGATTCTTTAAAAAAGTCCAGAAACTGAGTCTCAGTTAATTTTGTTAATTCCCCAAAGTATGGAATTGTAACTGTAAATAATCAAATGACCACAACCACCTGTCATGCAGCAAACCCTCAAGGCTGGTTCCACTTTTTCTATTTTTTTTCCCTTTTTCTAGTCTTTATTTCATATTTCATCTATAGGCTGCTCAGAATATGTTTCTTGGCCTGCCACTTTCACTGTTGTTGCACTGTTGTTTAATAATAGATTAGACGTAGTTGACCCTTCTATGATATTTTATTATTTATGTTCAAATCCAAGGGGGAAGTATGAAAAGACTGCATATAGCTTGACGTGCTGCAAACCTAACCTACAGAAAGTGCATGGAGAAACTTTCTTGTGACGAAGCACACTTCTGTGCCAGTGCATATATGTGCACTTGCACTGTGTTTGCTATAATCCATACACCCTCAAGTCGAAGATTAACATTTCGATGTAAGCTGCCAACTGGGCCCGAGAATCATGTGATTTGGATTTTTGCTGGTTCATCGGCCGGTGACCTCAGTGGACGACACATTGATTTAAAATGCCAGCAGGGGAGCAAATACTCCTACCACATCACACGTCCAATACATCTCGTTTTCTACCCTATTTGTTAAGCCTTCCTCTCATTAATTGTTAACTTCAGTTCAATGTACAGCAGCCACTTTACTTTCCGCAGCGTGAAAAGCTGAAAAATGCTGACGAGAATGACGTGTTGCAATGGATCTGAGTCTGCAGTGTTTTGCCCTTTTCCCTCTTGTTCTACATGTGATGTCTGGATGATATCCTTGTGCTAGAGTAACACTATAAAGCAAATTACAGCACTATTGTGATAATCTTTCACATGACTGCAATATTTTAATAATGGGATTATGGAACAGCCATTTGTAAACCACAAGTGAAGAAAACCTTACACGTGTCTTCACACATACAAATGTACGGTCATCGGACTTAAAACGTTGCTGGATGACTTCAAGTCTGTTTAAATTCACACCCGCAACAAAAGTTAACAAGGTTATTATACTGAAATTTTTTTATTTACACATCTGTTAGACCCCCTCTTTATGGCCACCTCCTCAAACTCTTCCGTGAGGACAACCATCTCAGTTTAAACATATCAAATCTCCATGAATCTGCCCAGGGTCTCCTTTTGGTAGGACATACCTGAAATTACTCGTCTAGGAGTAACAAGGCATCTTAGTCAGATTCTCAAATCACCAAAGTCCCTCCTTTCAGTGTGGAGGAGTACCAGTTCGTATGTGAGCCCCTTCCAAATGATCTAGCTCCCCAGTTTTTATTGAAGTATTTATTTAATATAAAAATAAAAACTAGACTTTAGAAATAAAGAATTGTAATAAAACTAAATTGATATCCAACACTCTTGATTTAAGAAAAACATACTTGTTATGTCAGTGGCAGTTAAGAATTGATTGCAGTATTGAAAATTTGAAGAAGCGCATGTTTGTCTAGTGACTACAATGATTAGCGCTGTGTCCTCTGTCCCCAGTATTTCCAATAAATAAAGATGAAGTAACGAGAACAGACAGATGCATTTTTTTTCCCAGCAGCTAGTGTCAGAATTACCACAGATTTGTGGTCACTGCTATATTAAAGTTTCAGTGACCCTCTTCAAAAGTGCAATTTCTCATAATCCCACTGTTTGCTGAGTGTCATCATATACCAGTTTTCCCCACTAAATTTAATTAACGTAAATCCGGTTCCTCACTTTAGACTCTGTTTGTATTTATTCAACTGAAACATGGCATCAATTTTCATTTCAGGTGGTATTTCACAAAATGTCTCCCAATGAGACCTTGTTTCTGGAGAGCACCAACAAGATCTACAAGGATGACATCTCCAGTAGCTCTTTTGTCAACTTCCAGATCTGGGACTTCCCCGGCCAGGTCGACTTCTTTGACCCCACCTTCGACTACGAGATGATCTTCAGAGGAACCGGGGCTCTGATATTTGTTATTGATGCTCAGGTGAAGAGAAAAAAAAAGAGGAAGAATTGTTTGATAAGATAAAGTGTAGAAGTGCAAAATCAGACCGCTTTCAGAATCACGACCACTTACATTTTTATTAAGATGAAACTGTACAGAAGAAGAAAACAGGCATCCAAGTATACACCCATTTCAGCACTGAAGAATGAGCTGGCTGATGAACAGCCAGAGTGGCTTGAATAAAAGACAATTACATGCCACGGCTTTTATGCCTGCGCTGTCCACATGACTCTGAGTGCTTTCAAGAAGTAATCTCAGCTGCGATATAAGCCACAGCTCATCTGATTGCATGGCTTTATTTGTGCTCAAGGTGCATCAGATTCAATTTGCTTCAGCAGTTGGTCACACAGTGATATGAGAGGAGAGCTGTTTTCCTTTTGCTGTTTTGGGAGGCGAGGCAGAGGTGCATTTCCTCAAACCTCACTTTAAACTGATGAGAATGTACTCCTCCATGTTATCTGAAGTGACAGCTAATAATTATGTTGGGCTTAGCTCACAAGACTGTCATTCTCACTTCTTTAAGAAGAAGCACATCTTGATTTTCCTGTTTATGTCACTGTGATAACTTTTTTCTTTTTTTTTGAAGGACATTGTTGGATATTATATACACTCTTACTACATTAAAATTTTTTCTCATAAAGTTTTTAAGGTTAAAAAAAGAGCAGATTATGGATGTAGTGTTCTGTAAGAATAAAGCAGCATGGTAGTATTAAAATTGTTAAATATTCTATGCTACATGTTGTTTCTGGTTTTGTGTCCAGAACAGCAGATTATGCTTTAAATCTCGTTTTAGATTCACTTTGTGAACATGCCTGTTTTTGTGTCATCTTCTTTGTTATAGGATGATTATGTGGAGGCTCTGAGTAGGCTTCATCTCACTGTGTCGCGGGCCTACAGGGTCAATCCAGAGATAAACTTCGAGGTGTTTATCCACAAAGTTGACGGCTTGTCAGACGATCACAAGATCGAAACCCAAAGAGACATCCATCAGAGAGCCAATGATGATCTGGTAGATGCCAGTTTAGAGAAGCTGCATCTCAGGTACGATTAACTTGTGATTATTTTTATCATCTGTAAAAGCCAGAATAAGGGGGGGAAGACATCCATCCTGTTTTATATTTGATTTTCAGCAAACAAAGTTTCACACACTCAATAATGCAATACAATAACTCTACTGTTAACAGATTTAACTAATCAAGAAAACAAGCCACAGCTTATATGGCCATTAATAAGTTGGTACAGCAGTTAATCGCTTACTCCAAATCTCTCAGACAAAGCATAGTCTCTCAACAAAACTGGCTTTATTCAAGACAGTTTTAACATCCGTAATCACGTTGTCGTAAACAGACATGAGTAAATACAAGTCAGTGCAGACACAAAAAGACAACCTCACTGACTGGTAATGACACATGAGACTGAGAGATGTTTTAACCTCTTCCACAAACGTTTTATACTTGGCCCCACTCATCCTATTTGATAAAAATGGTTTAAGAGTATGGTATAAAATAGTTTTTGGATTTTTTGGTAAAGTGTTCTTGCTTCAATCAGAGTGGCTTTTTGTTTGTTTTTCCCTTTTTCAATAATTGCAGTAGAAAAGCCATTGGGATGGTTGTTTTTATTAATGTCATTTGGTAATTGGTGTTGTTGCTAATAATAAGGCCTAAAAGTAGCTTCTGTTTCCGTCATTATATATCCAGTAGTCTGTGTCTTCAACATTGTCTGCATAGTTTTAGTGTTCCTGTGAGATTCCTCTTTGACCTCTTAATGAAGCAAGAGTGGCCTCTGCCACAGCTATCAGAGCTGTTGTGATTAAGGCTCCAAAGGGCAGAAAAACTTGAGATGCAGAAAGAAAGCCAAAGTACACATCTGCTGTTTGGTTCATCTTTGTGTGCACATAGCACACCATGGTTTGTTTGTTTTCTGATATAAATGCTAAAAGTTTTAACTTTTATATAGCCTGAGGACTAAATATGTTCATTTAGTAGTCTTTAGATTGAAGAAATGATCTTAAATTTTGTCATAGAATGCTATTAATACTTTGCCATTTCGCACAATGGATGTCATGGCTTCAGTTTTTTAAAATTCTTTATTTGGTTTGTTTTGATGTGTGGTTGGTGTCAAAAATTCACCATCATAGTAAATTCATCTTTTGAAGCCTCAAGTTACTTGTTTTGGCTATACTCATCCTACCATTTTGAAACAAGAGGAGGTAAAAGTAACTAAACAAACATGGACATTTGATACTTTAAGTACTTCTGCTTTTGATTCTAATAGGGACCATCATATGTGTTTGTCTAGTCTCGTCTAACTCTAACCCTCAAAGAGTTTCCCAGTCTTGTTCTCTAAAACCTAAAGAATTATGGATTTGATCAACTGGTCCTGTAATGGAATTGACACCCTGCTAGGCTTGGGAGAGCCCGATTGTCCTGCGGAGACGTTTGCTGCCGGATACTCGATGGTCGGTTGCGTCGTGTCTAGCGACACTCTCGATGGAGGACAATGAACATCTACCAATTTGGAACCATGATAACAGAGTTCTGGCTGATTGGAGCTGGCTTTGACCTGGCTTATCGAAGAACAAGAAGCAGCTACAGCTGTTCAAAATCCCATAAGGCTGGCCGATATGATAGACAATTGGCAGGGCTGTACTCAGACTGTGTTTTGAACGCAATATGGATAAGATCTTGGAGAAGAACAACGGGAATGGACAGAACTGGTGACCAGTGATGGACATTAGACCAACTGTAAAAGTTGGATGCAGTTGTTCGCACTAAACCCAAACATTCACGATCTTCACTCATGCGGCCCCCCTGGCGCCAGCTGAAGGCTTGCCAAAGTTGAAGCTGACTGGAACAACAAATTCTTCCCATGATAACAGGATTGTTGACGGAACTCTTTGTCCCTCTTTCAAGGCCACCTGGGTCCACTGGAAACTGTTGACTGACGCTTAACTGGGCGTGGTGACGCTTTCTCTTAGCTGAACACAGGATACACACATGCACACACACGAAACACGTACACTGATACGCCCTCACTATCACCCTCCCTACCCCGGATCCAACGCCTCCTCCCATGCTTACCTCCCATCCGATGTGGACACCGGATCAGCTGGAGGCGCAATCGAAGATTGCAGCGGTCCCAGATCAGCTGTACACACTGGAATACTCTCCCATGTTGCTTGTCTGTATTTTTTTTGGGCAACTGCAACTGACAAATAAAGGCTATCTAATCTCTCATCATCATCATCATCATCATTTACAAAGTGAACAATATGTTGTATTCATTAAGATTTGAAAGTAGTGTTTAAGACTAAACTTGTCAGGAAAGGGTTTACTTTGGTCATAGATCTGTGGAGGTGAATAGACATTTTGTCAGACAGTATAAAAATGTATCGCAACTTCTTAATTTGAAAAGTAAAGTCAAGGCCAAAGTGTCTTAGACATGCATTGTTTCAAATGGCTACCACATGATTCATTTTTGTGATATTTTCTAGAGTTAAACTAGTCCAGAATTACTAGATACTGAAATTTATGTTGCAGCTCTAATAAGATGAGTTAATGTTAATTGCAGCCTTTGCTCCGACACACTGTATAAGAAGTCTAAATGTGTTGTGTAGCACATTAAACAGTCTGTCGGGGTTAAGCCTGGGCAGCTCTGCAGCAGCTTTACTGTTGATTTTTAGGACTGTGTTGGCACACTGTGGGGTGTTTTATGTGGAGTGAGATTGTTGTTTATTCCGGTTAGACAGCCTGAGCGGTCCTGGATATATAGTGGATCTCTGCCTCTGGTGCTTTCTTCACCGTAATACATTGTGAAGTTGAGCTCCTGCCAAGTGTATGCAGACACTTCCATTTGGCTCACACCACTGTTTTCTCAGACACAAACTTTTTATTTATACATCTCACTAACCAATGTCTATAAGTCATGTGTGCCTAGTTTTCAGCAGCCTTATGAAGACTGTTTTGTTTTTTTTATTTGTTGGAATTTTTTTGCCAAGTTAGCATTAAGTTTTTATCCTTGTGCTTTTGTCTGAATCAGGCTTTAATGCTTTGATTCACATCTCTTTTCTACAATTCTGCAACTGTTTGTCATGTGATCTTGTGACTCTATGTATTTTTACCTGGTTTCATATGCATTTTGAGGAAGTGAGAAGTGTTTCCTACTTGTAACAGCTTATATGCTTCCTTTTTTTTTTCTTCATCATTCAGCTTTTACTTGACGAGTATTTATGACCACTCAATCTTTGAAGCCTTCAGCAAAGTGGTGCAGAAGCTCATCCCACAGCTCCCCACCTTGGAGAACCTCCTAAATATCTTCATTTCTGTAAGCACACAAAAACCAATCCTTTATGCATAAGAATTCTCTTGCAACTTTGTCACTGATGGAGTGATTTATGTGTGACAGCGTTCATGGCGTGAGTCATTGCCAGCACGGAAGCCACATTAGTGTTGGCAGTTCCTCCACTGTCCCTACAGCCTTTTCTGAAGATGTTTGTGATCCTCAGTTGTAATGCTACTTTGTCCCACACTGGTAGTAGTAGTCGCTCTGTAACTTTTAACTGTTTTATCTCAGGGTATGACTTTTGAGTGGAGAACAGCTGTTTCTTCCTTAAATGTACTAACTGGTTTGGTAAGATTTACTGTATCATATATATATATATATATATATATATATATATATATATATATATATATATATATATATATATATATATATATAAAAAATAAATGCAGGATTTATTTTACAGTTGTATTAGACTGCATCAGTTTAAGCTTGTTGTGTTATGAGTTGACAGTTGTCTTCACATGTAAAGCTTTAAGTATAAAGCATTGACTTTAGCTTGCTCTTATGACACATTGTCTTCATACCTGAATTACTGTGAGATCTGATTGTGTATATATGTTATAATACACGATAAAATGACGAAAAAAGCCACAACTTGCTCATTTCCCATTCATTTTGTATTCATAATGTTCTCATAAATATATTAATTTTTTATTTTTTTTTAAAAAAACATTTATTCTCATGACATTTCAGAGTCTGCTCATTTTCTTTGCTTTATATTATTTTAGCTATTTCAGGCTTTTAGACCATTAAAAAAAACTTTTGAATTGTACAGCCTGATCATACACAAATCAAAAATCTGATTTTTGTTTTGTTTGGTTTTTTTGGGGTTTTTTTGCAGCCTTTGTAAAAAAACAAACAAACTGTAACTTAGTTTATTCTCTCAGTAAGGGATCTGCTACCAGACATTAATTGTAACAGGAAGTAGCTTCCTGTTTCTTTACCATATTACACTTTCGACTGCCTCTTTTTTCTGTCTGTCTTCTTGTTGGTGACAGAATTCAGGGATAGAGAAGGCCTTTCTATTTGACGTGGTCAGTAAGATCTACATCGCCACAGACAGCTCTCCTGTGGACATGCAGTCCTATGAACTGTGCTGTGATATGATTGATGTGGTTATCGATGTCTCCTGCATCTATGGGTGAGTTTTGTGCTTTAGTGATGCACCAAAAGAGGTCAGAGTTGAGTAATGAGTGCTCCATGATTTGATAAACATAATTTTGGTCAGTGGTGTCTACAAAGTTAATTTTATATTAACTTTCTGTATTCATTTGCATAATAATAACTACCGTCATATTTGCTTGAATCTTTTGAAATCTTTTAAGCCTTTAAGAGACGGAGTTCACCCACGTGCTGTCTGAGGGTGCTTTCATTGAAGCACGACTTAATTTATGCACAATTAATAACCTCATAGACAAGCTGCAGTTTATTTCCCATTTCCTCTTTGAATGTTACAGTGTTTTGTTGTGTTTCACTAGTCTGAAGGAGGATGGCAGCGGCAGTGCCTATGACAAGGAGTCCATGGCCATCATCAAGCTCAACAACACCACTGTGCTGTACCTGAAAGAGGTCACAAAGTTCCTGGCCCTTGTCTGCATCCTGCGAGAAGAGAGCTTCGAGCGCAAAGGTAAGCTGTCAGATGACCTGTGATCCTCTGCTGCTCACTCGGCTTAATTTGGTTAATGGTTTTGGCTTGTGTCAAATGTCTTCATGTTTTCTTTCACTTTGTTTATCAGTGCAGTATTAGTGTGTGTCTGCATGTGTACAGATGGAGTGAAATTTGTAAACCTGGATGTTATCATGCACTGAAGTACATTACACAGAAAGATAGCCAAAGTTGGGAGTAATAAAAGGAAGCAGTAATTGACTTTCTAGCTCCAAAAACAGGAGATCCACCACTTACAATTAATTTAAATAGCAACATACTGGATGGCAGTTTGGGTGAATATCTTTGTGGCTTGTGATTGTCTGAGCCCATCTGCAGTTTGTTCCCCCATATTATGGAGAGTGTAGGAGAGTGGGTTTATTTTGATACTTAATTGTGTGTCTCCTTGAGAATTCAACACAGTCGATGAATTCTTGAGTGAAATTAAAAGTTTGTCCCATCACAAACTTTAAGCTAAAGCTGTTGTGCTAAAGGAAAAAGATATCAATTTGTAATTTGTATTTGAGACCCTGATCATTTAATAGCATGTTAGCCCTGGATCAGTTTGTGTATTCAAACAAGCTATGGGATGTACTATGAAGGACCTTCAACATAGCTGGGCTTTCTTTGCATCAGCTGGCTGGACAAAGCCTAAACCTCAGGATGTCACATTATGGTTGTGGGCTTTCTCTGCCTGTCTCAGAGTGCTTCAGGTTCTGTGAGTGTCACCTACTCTGATGAGAGACATTATCAGATGATATTAAAATGCTGATAAGAATCTATAAGGAACATAAAAAAATCTAACATTAAAATGCAATACTGCAGCAAACGAGATGAGATTAATGCTGAGCATTAATAGAGCGCTGAAATTTTAAACATCATACATTTAAACATTAAAAGGTTACTGTCCCATAGCCTAACAAAGGACACATGGGAATAAAAGTTAAATTCAATTTACCGATCGCATACGTGTTCTTTTTGTTTGTTCTGTGTGCTAATTGTTAAAATCCCTAATGACCCTGATGAAGGCCACAAGCCGAAACGCGTTGGTCAATTATTAAAGTTGTTCATCTTCCCTCAAGTGTTGCTGGAGTTCCTGCTTTGTGAATTCTTTCATCCTCTCCATGCACCTTGGAAGCAGGTGAAGTTGTGCCAGAAAATTTTGCTGCGAATTGTTAAAATCCCAACAGCAGTATAAATTATAAAAACACTTTTACATTTTCTGCATCACCAAAGGGAATGCATGCACATTTCAGTGAGTTTTGAGTTAGTGTAACATTTACTCAACAAGTCCACATATAAAATGTTCCCTTAGCAGAGGATCTATATCAAATTGTAAAGCTGTAAATACAGAACTCGTTGAAAACGTGCTGCTTCCAGAGTAATCTTTATAATTGGCAGTAGCATATGGCAATTCTATAGATTTGTAGACTTTCAGAAGCACTGTTACTGCTACTGTTTGAATCCCAAAGCAAGACTCCAGTTTGGCAACTCTAAGCTTCAGCTCCCTCTACAGTATTGTAGTCTGGAGACTGGCTCGGCTACTTTATGACTTTAATGGACTTTAGCCACTATGTTGTTGACAATGTTTTGGGTCATGTCATGCTGGAAGAGCCATCCACGACCCGTCTTCAGTGTTCTGGCTGAGAGGAGGTTCCTGTCTAACATTATATCTTGCCCTGTCCATTGGGCCCTCAGTGTGGAGAAGTTGGCCTGTACCCTAAACAGAAAAAGCGTAATACTTCCACCTCCAAGCTTGACTGTGAGGATGGTGTTCTTTGGATATATTCAACATTTCTCTTCTTCCGAACACTGCAGTTCAAGTTGATGCCAAGGTAAATTTTGGTGTCATCTGACCACAACACTTTCTCCCAAGCCTTCTTTGAGACATTTAGATGTCAACTGATAAACTTCAGATGGGCCTGTTCATGTGCCTTCTTGAGCAGGGGGACATTTTTGGTCCTGCACGATTTGAATCTATTACAGCATACTGTGTTACCAATGGTGTTCTTGGTGATCCCAACTCTGTTCAGATGATTAACATGCTCCTCCCATGTAGTTTTGGGCTGATCCACCCCCTTTCTCATGATCCTCACCCCAATCCTGCATAGAACTCCAGACGGAGGGCGATTCATAGTGATTTTAGATTTTATTCAATTTCCAAAAAACTGTACCAACAGCTGTCACGTTCTCACAAAGCTTCGTGCTGATGGTCTTGTATCCAGCCTTGCAGCTCTACGTTCTTGCTTGTCATGTCCTTTGACAGGTCTTTGGTCTTGCCCATGGTGGTGGAGAGTGTGGATTTTTTTTGTTAATATTTTCTCCCTCGTCATCAAAATATAACTACCATTTAAAAAAATTAGTGCCAGTTCATTTCATTGGAAGTGAGCAAACAGTCATTGGACTGATCAGTTGTTTAATAACATAGTTTTTTGTTTTTCGCTTTCACAGGACTAATAGACTACAACTTCCACTGTTTCCGGAAGGCTATCCATGAAGTCTTCGAGGTGGGAGTTTCCACTCCGCGTTCAGCTGGTCCACAGGCAATGGGCTCACCCTGCTCCAAGGCTGTTGCACTCAATGGCACACCACGCAACACCATCTAGATGCTGATGCAAAATTAAAAAACAAAAAGATGCAACAAGAAGGAAGAGGAAAGGAAAGATTAGGAAGGTCTCGGGAGCCTGTAGAGAAAAGACTACAAAACTGGGGCTCACCAGCGCACCAGTCACTATCCCATGCTCCCAGCACTTAAAGCACTGAGAAATGCCTCAAGCCAAGAGTGTGGGAGCAGCAGTGGAGCACAGAGGGGTCAGGCCAAGATGGACGATTGAAGGGAAATTCAGGCATCAGGTAAATGCAAAGCACTGTGTTAGCTTTGAGGAAGCCGAGAGACTAAACTGCACCTGAACAGGAAAAGGTTCAGGATCTTTCTTTGGATTTCTTAAAGCAGTCAAAGGCTGTGATAATTAGCTGCTGTTTCCTCTGTATGAACAATGTGATGTGGGGGAATAAAACCCTCTGTTATAACCTCTTCATATGGACAAACTGTTAGGAGGCTTCTGTCTTGTGATGAACCCACCCCGACCACTTCTGTGCTGAAAAAGACGATGGACATGTTCAGAGATGGCCTTATGTAGATAAAGCTTGACTGTAGTGCAAGCTTTTTCTCTCACCACCATTCACCTCACCTTACCTGAATGCTGCCCAAAACTTGCTTTTGGTTTGACTTGTGAAGGGAAAATAAGGTTTTGTGAGCAGACTAAAAAGGGATTGTGTTGTCCAGTTAAAGTGAGTGTGTGTGAGAAAGGTTTTGATTAAATCCCAAGCGCGTTATTGTGAAGGAACTTAACAGAAAACGTATATATGTCCTTTTAGCTAAGAGCAGTTTAGCATGATTAAACTCCTGTCATTCAGTGAAAATAACTCTTCTGTGCTTGTGCTCCACTGAGGAACAGCTTCTGATTGACTTTATGATGAATAGAAAAAGGAGTTTACTGGAAATTTGGACATACACATTGCAAAAGCACTGCCACCATGAATGAATAGGAGCCAGTTACACTATGCCACAATTTAAGAAAAAAATTAATTAAATTTGTTAAGTATGAATGAGGTGGAAGGTTGATGAACAGGTGGACTCACGGTTTAGGATTGTCAGACTGGTTGCAGCATGCTTGCATGCTTTTCCACTCAGTCACAGTCCCGCCAAAAATTATTAACCCATGTAGCAACCTGATTTAGTTTAGTCCTGATGAGCGGGAGTCACAAGAGCAAATCATTACTCCAAGCATGCATACATCAGTGTGTTTTTTCAGTTGAATTGTTCTCAACCAAAACATTGCTTCTTGTTTTGAAAAGGGGAGAGTGGAAATGGAATTAACAAAGAAACTCAAACTGCTAAAGTAGGAGAAAAAGACCAAATTTTATTATAATCGCCATTAAAATGAAATGCACTGTTCATGTCTGTATGTTTGTGTTTGCTTCTGTCAGGACTGAGAGGTAAAAACTCGTACCGGTTGCACCTAAAGATCGGGAATTTGACTCAGGAACCAGGATTACCACATTATCTAGCTAACTTTTCTGAGTAAAACTAAGTTCTAGCTTTGAAGGTGCCCCTGGTTTTATTCAGCAAAGTTATTCAGGTAATTCTGGTGCTCCTTGAAACTGGCCCGAGAAGTTGTTTCATTAGTCACCCGAGAATAAGTCGCCGCTTCATTGTTGCACATCAGAACTGTGGTGGATGATTGATTTCATGTAATGTGATGCTATACTGTGTGAAATAAATGAAAATTTAAAGTGTGTTCTTGTGCTTTTATTAGTTCGTTGACTAAAGAGATATTTGAGAAACTTGCAACATGTGTGGAAATGTCTGCATTCTGCTTGACAACCCTTTCTTCACTATCTAATGCAAAAGTGCAAACAAACACAAGATGGTGCTGCAGGACCATCCAAGCCTCCTCTCCACTATTATGATATTCAGTTTTCTCTTTGCCAAGACCAATAAGTCTTTTTCATACTTGTTAAAAATACAGAAAGTGTGCATTCATTGCTTCACCTGTGCGGTGAATTATACAGCTTGTTAAATGTCACCAGCGTCTATAACAACAGCGAGAACTGCTGCTTCGTTTATTGGTTCTGCATTATGAGCATGACAATAGAATAAATTGGATTACTCAGTATTGAGGAAACGCAGGTGTTTACTCTCATCCAATTTCTAAAAAAGGCATCTTTATGTCGATTCAATGTTTTCATGTTAAAATGCCAAATAACCGATTTTAACATTTATTTGCTCAACAAAACTACTCCAATATAAAACAAGACAGACTGTTAATTGTCAGTTTTCTTAAAGTTGGCTGTTGTTCAGATGGCATAATAATGAGTGGAGAAAGACCCCCCCCTCCCCCCCCTTTCTGGTTTAGTGCATATAAAAACAACTCTGTGAATAGCTTCACCATGCAAGTTATTCACCAGTTAAGTTAAATAAGCCTCACAGCTACTGTCACGACCCATTATGTGGGGAGTAGGCGAGACAGCTAAACACCACTTCCACACAATTTAGATGCAATAAAACACTGACAGCTTTTTTTATCCACTTCATTAAGCCAGTAATTTCTTATAAAAATCTCCCGCATTAATCCTGCCGATGGTTTCCCTGCGGTTCCTTAAGCTCTCCTCCAACCTTAGCCGCCTTGCTTTGATTCTTACTCAAATAGGCGCTAATTTGAGATAAATTATGCATCCACATGTAGCCTACCCATGCCAAGGAATATAAAGTGTGACACTGTGAAAGATGGTGAATTAAAGCAAAGTGTGATACCTTGACGGACTAATGGCAGATAGGTTAGGCCTGTCAGCCGGATGGTTTGTTGATCTGCATGTCACTTCACATTTGAAGAAGTAGAGAGGTCATGCTTATGATGTTTTGAAGGTCATTTGAAGTCATAGCTATTCCTGGAAGACCTTGCGGTGAGATGAAGAGCCCATGATATACTTAAATGAAGACACTCTAAAAGAATAAACAGAGTCATTTTTAGTTGTCCTTTAATTCCAATATGAATATCAAACATTTTTGATTCCATGCAGGGAAATTCAAGTGTCACAACAGCTGAAATACAAGAACAGATGCACACATAAGTAAGTTCAACAGTCAAAATGTATCTAATTTATCTAAATATGAGCATCTTTTATATGCCAGCGTAGCTCGAGAAATTAAAAGGTATTTAATTCTGTATATGCTGACGCGAAGTACACCGAGACAAAAATAGTAGCAAATAAACTGAGGCGGCAACAAAATCTGAATACAGAAAAAGCACTTGAGGGAACAAAAATTGTCTGGTGGTTAACGTGTCTCATGCCTGCAGACAGCTTAAAAAGCAGCTATTGCACTTGTACTGTAGCAGCAAAAACAAAGCGTGCTTCTAATAATGCAAAACCTGGATGTGTGCACTTCATCCCGAGCAGGTGTATTTATTGTCAGTTTGCTGGAAAAAAAAAACAACCCAAAAACCTCTCTTCATTTACCCAGGCTGAATTTAAAGTGACTGAAGTAAACTACATGCAATCAAGATATTGGTAAAATAATATCCATGAGCTACTGTTTACTGGAACACCTGGGTCACCTCGTGTCCACTCTGTATCACAGTGACTGAAAAGAATCTGTAGATGGGGCTGTTGTCTGCTGTTTCAGCTGCCGTCTCACGCTCTTTGGCCGGTCTTTCTGCTCCGTGGTGCAGGCAACATGGAGATCAACATCACACGCGGAGACCTTCCAGTCAGAGAGAGCTGGAGAAAAAGGAGACTGTGGGGAAGTTGAGGAAGCAGCAGAGAGCGAGCCGTATGATGTACAACTGTAATTTAGCGCTGCAGCAGGTCTTGAAATTGCCTTGCTTTATCAAAGGCAACACTCCTCCTTCCCCTGTCCCTAATAAGTAAGCTTAACTAATAATGAAATAAAGCGAGCAGAACATACTTTTGCCTGTGATGTCATGCCCACTTCCGCACGCCGGTCCGCCCATCATCTCAGATCTCTTAGTATCATTACGACGACGATATTGCTATTACGTTCTTAATAAAACTCAGTCAGCGGTGTGCTATCTCCCATCTTTACATTTTATTAACCATGCTTATGAGAGATGAGGGAAAAATGATGTGGCTAAGTAAGACGTCGCAGATAGGTGACAGATGTAATACAGGCTACACTGGAGCTCCAGTGAGAACAATTATCCAGCATAGACAAGGCAAGCTGGTGCTGAGATGATCTGACATCAAAAACTGTAAGCAAGGCAGTTAGTAGCACGATCATAGCAGTTCGGCTTTGCTTATAGTCAAAACTGGAGTTCCTAATAACGTGTAATACAAATATGAACTGCTCCAAAATATGCACAAGGCATCTTGTAAATCACAAAAACCAGATGCCTAGTCGTGTAACAGGATAAAGGGTGTTCAAAAGTTCTTTGTTTCTACCTTTCTTCTTTTAAAAAGATGGCTAACTTAAGAGATTTGTGTGTCTTTGTAATAAATGAATTGGGGTAATTGGATAACAGATTGCCAATCATAACAGAAAAGTAATAAAGGCATTATTTGGACAGTAATTGAGTCAGTAAGTCACTACCTTGGTCCAGCTTCTTTGCTTACTCATTAACTATCCTCCTTCATTTTGGAGGCTTTATTTGTTATCTCTCTGGTACCTAGGTTAAAAAAATCAGTCAGGTGGACAAAGCTTAAGTAAGGAAATACAACTTTCATGGGGATATTTTGGTATCCAATAAAAACCCATCCATGCCAAAAACATCACCTGATTTTCCCACAGCCGACACACAAACAGAAAACCTAGTTTGAGGCTTCTGTTGCAACATATCATTAAAGCAAAACAGACCTGTCATAAGGTGTTCACTGCTTTTTTTTTGAGGAGCTAACCAGTACAGCAAACTGCTCTACTACCCTTAATGTGCAGCAATGGGAGAAGCGGTATGAGGAGAGGGGAAAAGGATAACGACAGTGGAAGTTAGAGGAAGGGACAGGCGTCTCCTGCATTTTCTGGTCAGCTAGCAGAGCGTGGAACGAAGGGGCCAGCGGGCCAGCAGCCAGCTAATGGGGACCAGCAGTGAGCACGGGGCCAGGGACAGCGCTGACAAAAGGAACAGCGACAGATGCCATTATCTCAGCCTCATGCAGATACAATGGAGCTGGACAACACGGGTCCTGACACTTGCAGACATTTGTGAGCGAGCGTGTGGGCCGAGAGAAGGGGGCGTGTGTGTGTGCGCGCGCGCGTGCACTGTGAAGTTAATAGAACACGATGGAGGAGAAGTGGATTATCATGGAGACTACAATTTCTTGGTAACACTCTGAGCTCCGCTGCACCCCTTGCATGCATGCGTGCATGCGCGTATGCAATTCACGTGTGTATTTGAGTATAGCCTACATGACCTCATCTTGTTACAGAAAGACAGCTGGATCAGTCACCCATCACTTGCTTAGAATTCAGGGGCATCGTGGAAAGCGCACCACATTTGGTTTCATATTTCTCTGGGTGCTACTCTTGGACTTAAATTATGCAGCGTTCACTTCAACCAAGGATGTTCTGGTCATTTGGACAACCAAAAACGTGTCAGGGTGGGGTTTTCGAGGGGTGGGGGATATTAGCTGGCTCTGGTGATGCTTTTAGCAGGATTGGCAAAGGCAGAGAAGGGCTGTTAAGCAGCAGTTTTTGGGAGGGATAAGAAATGTGAGCTTTAGCCAGTGTAGTGCAGTGACATGGGACAGCGTTATTGACTGTGGCGGTGCATGCTGACAGTGGATTGTCAGCCCCTGCAGTCATTTGCCAGACTGAGCGAATGCAAGGATCAGAGTTCTTGGAGCTTAGAGAACGAGAGAAAAGAAAGTGAGACAGGGAGGGATGGCACGGAAAGGAGAGCAGAGAGACTGGCAGCCATACAAATGCAGGAATATAAACATAATACACACACAAAAAAAACACACACACACAAACACACACTGAGATGTGGGCACCCCGCAGAGTGTCTGACACTGATGCTGCCAGACTAATCAGGGTACTCTCCCACTCTTTCACTTGCTCATTAGTGTTAGAGGAGAAGCCAGACAGTTGTGACGTTGCAACGAGGTTTTGTCTTGCCGTTGTAACCATGTTTGGTGTGAGAGGGTAAGCAGTGATTTTAAAAGTGTTTGAAACAGGTCCGTGACATACTTTGAATGCACTCTCACATGATAGATTGAGCGGTAATATTTTTTGTTGTCGTTCGCTATGTAGAAGCTGTCTGCTTTAATAGAACAGTAACTTTAAAATACAATATCTGAATACATTTTACAGACTTGTAGCATCTCATCCCTGTGTAAGAAGGAATTTGTGTGGCTGCAATGATTCTGAAGGCAAAAAGCTGACCAGTGAAATCAACAGAGGCTGAATATCTCAGATTCAAGAGAATATTGGAAAAAATCTGATATTTTTTTCCATCTATTGCTTGAGAAATTTTTCATATATTCAAGCCACCCTTGACTCGTGAAGGCATTATTTTAAAATTCAAAACAGAAAAAGGGGGTCCAGGTGAAGACCTGCAGGAAAGCTATGACCAGGACACAGCGTTATGTTTGTGCCTAAAGTGCTTTCTAATTACTTAACATAACTTTATTTTGTCATTTTGGCCAACACCTTTGACATAATGTTTTGCCATTTGAGGTGTGGTGTACTCATTTTGTGACATATAATTAATACAAAGTCCCTAGTTTACATGATGAGGTTTTAGGTCAGATTTGCTGACCTTATCATAACTGTTTTGCTCT